TACAAGAGGGTGTAAAACACCAGATCAAGATATTTGAAATAAATAACTACCTCTAATATATCACTCTTGTAAAACCACCTCTCTCTCTCTTTTAGATAATCTTCCTCCTTTCCTAAAAATAACAATTTTAGTTTTCTCAACGTTTACTATCGAACCCCGCTTACTACAACACTCAGAGAGGTGAGGTGAGGTGAAATTAGGTTTAACGTCGCGTCCAAGATTATTGCACTTATATAGCGACGTGCATGCACGTGTATGTGTGTGTGTGGCTGCTTGTACTAGTCCGGACTGATGCCGATTTATAGTGCTAGCTCACTGAGATACCATGCCGCAGTTTAACATGAATACCCCACTCAGACACAGTATACTGACTCCGAGCCGACCAGTCCTTGTTTTAGCCCCTTAATGCCGAGCGCCAGACAGGGTAACAACAAGTACAATCTTTTAACGTCTTTTTGTATGACGCGGGCCGGGATCGAACCCTGGACCTTCCGCTCTCCGGGCGGACGCTCTACCACAAGACCACGGAGGCGGTCACAACAACAACACTCAGAGAACAAGTCAAGGCCTTCCTGTAGTCCATCAACACTTGTACTGAACTTGTACTGAACAAAACCATGTCGTCAGCAAACAACAACAAAAGTAACCGAATAGTTAATACATAGACACCAAAGGTCCTGCGAAGATCTCTTGAGCAATATCGTTCAGAAACAAAGAGAATAATATTGGCGACAAATTCTCACCCTGCCTTACTCCGATACCAGAACTGAAATAATCCGAATGCGATTCATTCATTTTAACAGATGACAGAGGACATACATGTACTAAGTGCACTGTAATGTACGATAACTAATTATTCATGTTCCACTGTCATTGTCAATTATCTTATTGGCGTAATTTTAGGCAGTTTTGTCTGTTTGCATTCCTTGGTGTTATTGCGAAGTCATATAATTAACAAATTTCTGTTGACGTATATTATTATCAATGCTGTTTAATGTAGGGGCGCTTTACTTTGTACCGACTGACATGAGATTCTCTCGAGAATACTAGTCTTGGTCCAAACACAGTTGGGGTAATAATAGACTTTGCACTAAATATAACTTCGATGATACGACGGTACAAATAAACGCTTGAAATTTTTGCGATTAGAAAAAATATTGAAGATGAATATTGTAATAAAGTGAGCATGTTTTTGGTCTGTTGATTAAATGCAAGGCATTTTGTAAATAGAAAAGAATATTATGATCCCGCCATCTCACCACCAAACACCCCGCCGAAAGCTGGTTCGTTGTCTTTAAGTACCTACAACACAAACGAGGTGCTACTGTATTCATAAATGAACTCACCAGAAAACATATTTATTCTGATCAACCATGGAAAATGATGGAAATATCCACTAAAGATGCTGATTGTTACAGGCTACCGACGTATGGCAGGATTACTGCTGTACGGCGTTAGACACGATCAGACGCATACTTGTTCATGCTTTGTTTGTTTGTTTGTTTTTGTTTACTGTTAAACGCCGTACTCAGCAATATTCCAGCTATATGATGGCGCTCTGTAAATAATGGACCTCCATTGATTGACATAATGAGCATCGATCCACGCAGATGGGATACCATGACATGCATCAACCAAGTCAGCGAGTCTGATCACCCGATCCCGTTAGTCGCTTTTTATGGCTAGCATGGGTTGCTGAAGACCAATTCTACCATCGGATCTTCACGGGTCACTTGTTTGTGTGAATTGTGTGAGTGGAGGCTGCTGTCGTTAGAGCGGGACATCCTTACTCTTTTTGAGAACCATTAAGGTAATGAATACACAATGTCATTTAGAAAGTCGTCAAATGTAACACTTTCTTATTAAAGTACAGATTCTCGTACGGTTTTGGGTTGGGTCCCGTCCGGGATTCGAACCCACACTTGCCAGAGTGAAAACGAGAAGTACGAGAATCTGTACTTCACTAAGAAAGTGTTATCCCAAATATAACATTTGTTACATTTGACCACTTTCTAAATGGCATTGTGTATTCATAGCTTTCGGCCATGGGAGCCGTGCCAATTTACACTTGTCAGAGGGGTACTCAAAGTACGTGATCTAGACTTCCAGTTGTGGGACTTTTATTTTTTGTGGAAGCCTCGGTGGCTGTGTTGGTTAGATCGCTGACTTTGTGTGCCTCACTCTGGCAAGTGTGGGTTCGAATCCCGAACGGGACTCAACCCCAAAAAAGTACGAGAATCTGTACTTTACTAAGAAAGTGTTAAACCTAATATAACATTTATTACATTCATGTAATTTTCATCACCATTTTTCCTTTGCGCCCAGTGGAATCTGTTTCGGTAGATCATCGAGAGTTTACGTGTACGGCTGTATAGTAGCCTCGTGTAAGTATGCTGTAATATACTGAACCGCAAAAGAAACGTCACCCCAAGTAACATTGCATGAAATGTTATCATTCAAATATCTTGGTAATTTTTGTCAAGTTTCTCAAATTTAACATTACCTTGCCTGAAAAAATGAAATTTGATGATAAAAAAACAAAGCAGATGACAATAAAACCGATCGCCCAAACGCATCACGACAACGGCCATGGTAACCCGATGTACGTGAGTTCCGTGTAAATTGAAATACATATGCGTTCCCCCATTTCTTGCCCGAATAAATCCACCGAAATCGGATAACATTCGTTCGTTATTGAATTGCTACCACATGCCAAAATTGACAAAAGCGACACCAAGCCCTTGGACGATTGCAAGCTGGATAAACCGCCCGGCAAGTAGCCAATGCATTTCAAGTCCACGTAAGGACCATATACAGGCTCCAGCAACGATATCAGACCACCAACACTACAGATAACCGACCACGTAGTGGAAGACAAAGGGTCACCACCCGACGTCAGGATCGTCAGATTGGGCGACAGCATCTTCAAGATCGCTTTGTTACTGCTGCGGAAACTGCTCGACAGACCATGGGGTCAAACCAGCGACACATTTGTGCGGTCATCGTGCGTCGACGATTGACGAGCAGACACATCCACTGTCACAGGCCGCATCGAGGAGCCATTCTGACACCACGTCATCGCCGGGACCGTCTTCAGTGGGCAACACAGCACCAGCATTGGCGCCACCAGCAGTGGAGAAGAGTCCTCTTCTCAGACGAGAGCCGTTACTGTGTTTCAACAGCAGATGGCAGAGAGAGAGTCTGGCGACGCCGTTGGGAACGTTATTCGGATGCTTGTGTTCTTGTGAGAGACTCGTGGGGTGATCCGAGCATCATGGTGTGGGGTTGAATTGGTCTTGCACAGAGGGTCGGCCCTGTGGTCTTCCAGAACATCCAGAACATCTTGAGACCACACGCCATACCTCATTTGGCACGTCGCCGCAACAACGAGTTTCAGCATGATAACGCCCGTGCCCCCACACTGCGAGGGCAACAAGAGACTTCCTCCAGCCGAATGGCATCAGAACCATGCAGTTGCCTGCCCTCAGTCCCGAATTAAATCCCATTGAGCACCTGTGGGACGAGATTCAAAGACGGCTGAATGACGTCCGACCAAGGCCGACGACTGCAGCTGAACTGCGTCAGGCGTTCCTCAGAGTGTGGGCTCAAGTGCCTATGGCCTTCCTGCAACCACCTCATCCATTCCATGTATCGACGTTGCACGGCAGTCATCAATGCACATGGCGGACACACGAGATACTGACTTGTGATGCCATTGTCTCAGAGACTAGTGTTGTGTTTCACTTTAAGAACAGTTGACACTTTAATTTCAACCTTGATGATCAGTTTTGCCAAGTTTCATCTTTTTAATATGTCTGAAAGTATGTTTACAGTGTTTGGACAAATAATGTTTCTCATATATCTATCCATGGTGACGTTTCTTTTGCTGTTCAGTATATATATATATGTGTGTGTTTTGATACAAATACCCTTCTAAGCGGCGCACTACCCATTACCCTATGTGGTAGAAGTCGACCAACCCGCGTCTCCTTTGTCAAAGACATGTTAACTTCGATGCCCTTTTTACTGTAACTGAGTATGGTTTTACGTCGCTTTTGGTAATATTCCAGCAATATCGCAGCAGGGCACACCAATAATGGGTTTCACACATTGAACTATGCTGAGAATCGAACCTTGGTCTTCAGCGAGACGAGCGAACGCTTTAATCACTAGGCTACCCCACCGCTCTCCTTTACTGTAGAAGATGCCTGTTATATATGTATGTTGTTCTTTAATAGTATGTGTATATGGTTATAAAAAACATCTAATCCATCTAGTCCCGTAAAGATCCGGGATTGAATGGGTCTTCAGCAACTCATGCTTGTCGTAAGAGGCAATTAACTTGGTTGATGCATGTCATCCTATCCCAAGTGCATGGAATCCCAAGATCCCAAGATCGATGCTCATGATGTCAATCATTGGATTGTCTGGGCCAGGTGCATGTCATCGTATCCCAATTGCGTGGATCAATGTTCATGATAGTGATCTGGTCCAGACTCGATTATTTTACAGACCGCCGTCATATAGCTGGAATATTGCTGACTGCGGCGTTAAACAACAAACAAACAAACAAACAGACTCGATTATTTAAAGACCGTCGTCATATAGTTGGATTATTGCTGAATGAGGCGTTAAACAACAAACAAACAAAACAAAACAAACAAACAAGTACCTCATTTTGGGGTCATATCTGTTTGACACGGCTCTTTTTGCACCTAAGGACAGCAATAGACGTATTTAAGTGCAGGGAGTTAACAAGATACACCCACGTGCATGTCTCTCAGCATTCAACCATGGCATTACTTAGCACGCAGTTACCATTTAATGTATGTATGACGAATGTATGTGTTTCGTCCCCTTGTACAGCGAATAGAATTTCAGTATTTAACAAGCATGTTCTACTGCTTCGCTGACTTTATGCTAATATGGCTGTGTGGTCACTGATTGGATGGTGAGATATTCGCGCACAGCTGAGATAGGCAAGGATTGGATGAGACGGGTATTAAGAGGCTCTGACAACGGATGCTAAATCACAGGTAAGCAGCTCATCAACAGCCAGGTAAGTGCAGGTGAAGTTGTATAGAACAGGGGATGAGCTCTGCCCACAGAGAAAGGATGAAAACCTTTGAATTCTTTCACTTGGGCCAGATAGTCTATAAATCCGAGTTTGTAGAACCTATATGTTAATTATATTTAAGACAGCGATTGTGAAAAAAACATAACCTGAAACACAGTGAAAAGCATGTTTCATTTTCCACTAATTTTTATTTAGTCTTCATCCATAGATTATTTCATTTAGAGCTAAATGATTTTTTTTCACTCCTTTTTAAACATAGTTAAACTAATAGAATAATGTATTGTATCAGTGAAATGACTAGCTTCGACAAACGATTAAAATCTAAACACTGGGAAAGTTTTATAAATATAATAAGACATCTTTGAAACCAGTAAGTTGTGATGTTTATCCTTGTTATTGGTCCGTGATGGTCGACAGTAATTCGTTCGCTCGTCACGCCGAAGACCCGGGTTCGATTCCCGACATGGGTACAATAAGTGAAGCCCATTTCTGGTGTCCCCCGCCGTGATATTGCTGGAATATTCCTAAAAGCGGCGTAAAACCATACTCACTCACTCACTCTGATGCATTGATAATAATTCAAGTCATTATTTTACAGGTATTTAAAAATTCAAATCAGTATCAAAAGTGCAACGAATGTCAATTTATGCTGTCAAATATGTAGGTAAATATAAGCGACAAAAACATTTCTATAAATTCCAAAGAAATCTAAACTAAAAGCTTTATCCTGTGTACGATTCCGACTATATCATGAACATGTGTTAATCAGTTATCAAATAGTGAGGATACAATTTGTTCGCGAAAAGGTGAGTGTATCCTTCCCCACCAGTAGATCTACATTGAAAACACCGCATGTTTCTCTCCTAATTATGTGTACAATGACCTGTACTTCCCTTTAGGACCCGTGAAGATCCGGGTTAGAACAGGTCTTCAGCAACCCATGCTTGTCGTAAGAGGCGACTAACGGGATCGGGTGGTCAGGCTCGCTGACTTGGTTAATGCATGTCATCGTTTCCCAATTGCGTGGATCAATGCTCATGATAGTGATCTGGTCCAGACTCGAGTATTTACAGACTGCCGTCATATAGCTGGAATATTGCTGACTGCGGCGTTAAACAACAAACCAACCAACCAACTTCCCTTTCGTTTGTAATTTATTTAAGTGCTATAACATCTACAGGTAAATCCGCCCACATTGAGAACACCGTATTTTTATCTCCTTACCACATGTACAATGACATGTACATACTTAAGATGGAGCTAAATATATGTTTATTTAATGCATGAATATGCCTGCTTTCATGTTTGCCTTTGCTATTATAATGTACAGATTAAAATTAAGAATGCAACAAAGAGGGCTTGGGGTGATCCTGGCACAGTCAGGCTGGTAAGGCTCATCATCAGCTCAGGGCCCTTGCCCCTCTACACGCAGCCCATTTATGATTATGATTATTATGATGATGCTGATAAGTATCATTATTTATTCTTATTGTTCTTATTTCTATTCGTATTCGTAATATTATCATCATTATCATTAGTAGTAGTAGTAGTAGTAGTAGTAGCAGTAGTAGTAGTGTAGTAGTAGTAGTAGTAGTAGTAGTAGTAGTAGTAGTAGTAGTAAATCAATCTTCGCCTTGATGTTTCCACAGTTGACAATCAAGCCCCCTGTTATCATGGCTGCTTCCACCTACGTCCTTGGGTTGTACATTCTGTATGGTGAGTGTCTGCCTGGGATTATTATTTTAAATATACTGTATACACTAAAGTGAATGATTTTGCAGTTTACTCCAAACCATAAGATTCAAACATTGGGCACAAGGTTGTCGTTCTTGTGATGACCAAATCATATACGCGTCATAAATGGGGTACAGTTTTGTCGTTCTTGTGATGACCAAATCATATACGCGTCATACATGGGGCACAATGTTGTCCTTCTTGTGATGACCAAATCATATACGCGTCATACATGGAGCACAATTTTGTCTTTTTTGTGATGATCAAGTCGTGTAAACGTTAAAGAAGGTCAGTATTGAGATTTATTTTGTCCAAAACATACTTTTTCTAAAATTACTCAAAAAAAATTTTTGGCCTCACGATTTACCCTAAAAATGAAAGGGCATGTACCACAAACAATATGCCCCACACGACGTATATGCGATGGATCATTCTCTGTCTTCGCGTGGCACGTTTTGGAGGGTCATTTAGAGTCAATGGTCTGTTTCAGGACTGATTTCCGGTGCATCATCACAGAGAGGAAACGGTAAGAAGAACAGATCGTCGTCTCATGTATCATCAAGTTTTGAAGACTATTTTTCAGAACAAGATCACAGTGGTGGCTTTTTTCGTGTTTCGGATCAGCCACAGAATGGCTATATCAGAAAAAGACTGAGATTCAGATGTTGACCATTCTGATTATATCAAATCCAACGTTGAATGGCGGTTTTAACACTACATGATACAAATCTTGCCAATTGCAGTTTGAGAGTGTTCTCTGGTGCCAAATATATACAACCCATGCTTGTCGTAAGAGGCGACTAATGGGATCGGATGGACAGGCTCGCTGACTAGGTTGATGCATGTCATATTATCACAATTACGTAGATCAATGCATGTGACGTCCATCAATGGACTGTCTGGTCGAGATCGCCGTCATATAGATGGAATATTGCTGAATGTGGCGTTAAACAACAAACAAAAACAATGAATAAGTGTTGAGGCCTTGCTTCCGTTTTTGTAGACACAAGGCATGGCAACAAAACAGTCAGCCCGGGAATTGCATACGAGGCCACAGGTCACGTGGTAGTCACTGTCCGGCTTGATGCTCCGTCGGCCTCTGGATTGACGTTCAAAGTAAGTATCACGTTCATGCAGTTAAAGACCACGTTAAACGATAGCGTCGCCACCGTAATATTTCCAATCACATGACCTGACTATCAAGGAATCTACAGTCAGATAACCTCAGTATTTGTGAACCTTAAGTCAGATAACCCCAGTATTTGTGAACCCTAAATCAGATAACCTCAGTATTTGTGAACCTACAGTCAGATAACCTCAGTATCTGTGAACCTAAAGTGAGATAACCTCAGCATTTGTGAACCTACAGTCAGATAACCTCAGTATTTGTGAACCTCAAGTCAGATAACCTCAGTATTTGTGAACCTACAGTCAGATAACTTCAGTATTTGGGAACCTTAAGTCAGATAACCTCAGTATTTGTGAACCTACAGTCAGATAACTTCCGTATCAGTTCGTATATCCTGAACTGATAACCTCCGTCTCAGCGAACCTATAGTCAGATACCTTTCAAATTAGTCAACCTATTTATCATATATCACCTGTAAGAAAGTTTCATTCAGATAACTAAAGTATTTGTGATTTTGAAGTCAAACATATTTCGTATTAGTGAACATTTAGTCAGATATTCCCCGTAGTGGGTTTTCTTTTGACAAGATTTTCAATATAGAATATCTTCGACACTAGAACTATTTCTGATGAATTGACAAGTTTGATTTGTGTCATATTGATTTAACAACACTCACGTAAGAATCCATTCACGTACTTCGCTCAGGGAATATACAACAAATGACTCTTTTCTTAAAATCAGTATGGCAGACGCTATTTAACTGTTCCTACATCCAAACACTCGGGGCATAGTCAGAGTGTGATAATATATGTGCTAGAGTGATCGTTGAGTGTTGTGACCAATCAACTTGTGATATCATGGTGAAGTGCCTATTATGAAAAGGACTCGATAAATGCAATGACAATGTCTGTTTCAGTATAGCACTGTTCCGAGTGGTGCAGGTTCGAGTGACTTTGAGCGGTTTAACAACGTGCCCATCTCAATCCCCCAAGGGAGGGATCACGTCAATTTTACCATCAACATAACGAACGACTCGGTGAGTAAGCATCACTCAGAGACATTAATACTGCAGTGTATCCTTGATCGACATGAATACATAACACTGCTCGCATACTGCAGTGGAAATATTTATTGATCTTGTGGATCGAAGTAACATTTGTTCTCTATCTTTGGCAGGTGCCAGAGGCGGATGAAAAGTTCAAACTGAGGTTAACTCAATTCTCCGACTCGTCTGGTGCATTCAACCATTTCATTTATATCGCAGACAATGAAGGTACTCTAATCAATTATTCCATTTGTTTGGTTGTTTGTTTGTTGTTGTTTAGCATCACATTTAGCAAAATTCCATCTATATGACGGCGGTAAATAATCGAGTCTGGATCAAACAATCCAGTTATTGACATCACCCTGCCCTGCCCTGCCCTGCCCTGCCCTGCCCTGCCCTGCCCTGCCCTGCCCTGCCCTGCCCTGCCCTGCCCTGCCCCTATCGTATATTAACCTTCCCCTACCACGACTCCAGTACCAATCCATACTGTTCTCTTATGTTTTATGGAACACAGACACTCGTGTTATAGTTAAACAACGAGTGATACATACAGAAAACACTTGTTATATACAGAAAACATGTGGTACACACAAAAACAATCAACACTGTTATATGCAGACAACATGTGTTATAGTTAAACAACGAGTGATATATACAGAAAATACGTGTTATATACAGAAAACACGTGATACACACAGACAACATGTGTAATATACAGACGAGTGTTATATACAGTCAACACTGTTATATACAGACGAGTGCTATATACAGTCAACACTGTTATATACAGACGAGTGATATATGCAGACGACACGTGTTACATACAGACAACGCGTGTTATAGTTAAACAACTGGTGATATATACAGAAAACATGTGTTATATACCAAAACACGTGATACACACAGACAACACTGTTATATACAGACGAGTGTTATATATAGTCAACACTGTTATATACAGACGAGTGTTATATACAGTCAACACTGTTATATACAGACGAGTGTTATATACAGTCAACACTGTTATATACAGACGAGTGTTATATACAGTCAATACTGTTATATGCAGACGAGTGTTATATACAGTCAATACGGTTTTATATACAGATGAGTGTTATATACAGACAACACTGTTATATACAGTCAACACTGTTATATGCCGTCAACACTGTTATATTCAGACGAGTGTTATATACAGACGAGTGTTATATACAGACGAGTGTTATATACAGACGAGTGTTATATGCAGTTAACACTGTTATATTCAGACGAGTGTTATATACAGTCAACACTGTTATATACAGACGAGTGTTATATACAGTCAATACTGTTATATATAGACGAGTGTTATATACAGTCAACACTGTTATATACAGACGAGTGTTATATACAGTCAACACTGTTATATACAGACGAGTGTTATATACAGTCAACACTGTTATATACAGACGAGTGTTATATACAGTCAACACTGTTATATACAGACGAGTGTTATATACAGTCAATACTGTTATATGCAGACGAGTGTTATATACAGTCAATACTGTTATATGCAGATGAGTGTTCTATACAGACAACACTGTTATATAAAGTCAACACTGTTATATGCCGTCAACACTGTTATATTCAGACGAGTGTTATATACAGACGAGTGTTATATACAGACGAGTGTTATATGCAGTTAACACTGTTATATTCAGACGAGTGTTATATACAGTCAACACTGTTATATACAGACGAGTGTTATATACAGTCAACACTGTTATATACAGACGAGTGTTATATACAGTCAACACTTATATACAGACGAGTGTTATATACAGTCAATACTGTTATATGCAGACGAGTGTTATATACAGCCAATACTGTTATATACAGATGAGTGTTATATAGAGACAACACTGTTATATACAGTCAACACTGTTATATGCCGTCAACACTGTTATATACAGACGAGTGTTATATACAGACGAGTGTTATATACAGACGAGTGTTATATACAGACGAGTGTTATATACCGTCAACACTGTTATATTCAGACGAATGTTATATACCGTCAAAACTGTTATATACCGACAACGGTTTCTCTACAGACTAAGTGTTGTCTACAGCCTGTGTGTTACATACGCTGTGTATATGTTGTAGATATCACCATATGTACAGGGGATCGGTCGTTCAGGGAAAATGATGGCCTTGCCAGAGTTCGACTTTCTCGGCCTTCGGCGAAATCTGTCGGCATCCTCACGGCGTTTGTCAGCACAAGGACACTTCCTGGCCAGGCTAAAGAGAACGAAGACTTCATACCCATCACAAATGACACGGTGGTGTTTACAAACAATGAAAGGTTCAAGGATATCGAGATCCCTTTGATCGATAATTTTGTAAGTTTCATTTTATGTCTAACCGATAACACAAAACCCTGAAGTATGTTTACTGAGGGAAATAGCTTTTGGTTTTGTATCCTCCTCCAATGAATGCATTTTCCATAAGCTTTTTAAAACTCATATCAAAACAGAATTGTATTATTGATTAAACCTGGGAGACTAAGAACATACATAGAAATATGAATATGTGTGAACAATGTAACATATATGCAACTGAGGATGATTTCGATTTCATTTTATAAATATGACTACTAGTATTTAAAACAGTAAATATGTAGATCTTTGAAAGGCATTTAGAAGTGATACACATAAGGGAGTGAATATATGGATGTCAACTTCTTTATTATGAGGAATACAACGTTTCGGAGTATATGCTTACTTCTTCATCGGGTGAATGAATGCCTTACTTACTTAAATTGGGAATTTAACGTGCGCTTTCCGACATATGCGTATTTCGCGCACGGCCCCGCCAGGCCATTTGGTGTTTGGTCGAAAAGGGTAAGTCCGAAAAGGTGAGGCAACCTAGGTCGGGCTATTTAGGGTTGCTTAGTTAATTCGGAGAAAAAATTTGGAATTTTGAAATATGCCATGCAAAAGGTGGAGGAGGGGACTAAAGTTTGTGTGTTTTATAGGTTTAGAATTTTAGGGTTTATTGGCAGCTTGTTTCTTGTACTTTTACTTTTAAATGCGGCCAAGTAGTTCTGTTTTGATTAGATATATGCTTAGTGCTTTAACGGTTTGTAAGTCTTTTAGGGGGTTTAGTACCGTTGCTAGTGTCATTTGATTGTTGCAATTTAGTGTGGATTGGAGTGTTGTTCTGTGTTGCTGGTAATGTGTGCAATATAGTATTATGTGTTCAGGCGTTTCTTTTAAGTTGCAGTGGGGGCATTTACCGGTTTGGTGTTTGTTTGTTTTTAATTTGGTGTAGGTGGGAGTTTAACTTAGTGTGGCCTGTTTGTAGGTTAGTTATTACTCTGTCAATTTTTTTTGGTTTTATGATGGATATTTTGTTTTTTGAGTGGCTTTTGTAGCAGGTATTTTAGTTTGCAATCATATTTCTGATACTTATTTTGCTTCTTTTGGAAGATTTTCTCCTTTGTGATACTTTTAATTTCGTTTTTTTGATAGGTTGATGCTTACTCCTTCTAATTGTTGTGCTGATTTGGTTGCTTCAGCACTAAGATTAGAAGAAGTAATGAATGTATGAAGAAGTAATGAATGAATGCCATGAGGCAGAGAGCATATATATGTACATGTAAGGACAACACAATTAATAGGATAACAAAAGGTGGAAAATAACAAAGGTTAGAAACGAACAAGGGAAGCCAGCAGATGATTGGCGCTGATAGGTGATTAGCAATAAACAATGGAAGCAAACACTTAACAGTAATTAGCACTGATAGTATGGAAGCCAGTACTTAAGTTATCAAAGAAAAGTAAAAGGCAGTGGACACTGGGCAAACGGGGGACCGGGGGTAATTAGCACTGATAGGTGAAAGAATGGACATAGCAACGGGCAAATTGAAGCCAGCTAGGTAATTAGCACCGACAAAGGTCAAAGCGAATAAGTCCCAAGCACAAGGCAGATAGGTTCCCTGGTCACGGTTCATGGCTGGCTGGTGTCTCCTGATGTCAATGGCTTCTTGTAGTTTTCTATGTCGCCAGTTGTTGTTGTTGGTAGACAGGACTTTGGTGGCCCCCTACGTGATGTTTCGGTTTTGGTTCTGGTTATGGTTTGGTAAGTCGACATCTTAGGTTGTACCAATTGTTTAACTATCCGCTCCAAATGCCCCTACAGTCTAAGGTTTCCGCTAGGTAAGTAGATAAGTAACGAGATACCTTCATTACTTCTGTGTCCTTTAGTTGCCGCTATCTTTTAGTCGGACTCAAGGTTCGCCATGGTAAAGTTGATCAATTGTGTTTCTACACCTACCTGTGCTCGTGGATTTCACTGATAAGGGTTCCTCAGTAGTCTTGTTGTTGTTGTATTCCTTTAACGCCACACCCAGCAATATTCCAGCTAGATGACTCCGGTCTCTAAATAAGCAAGTCTGGACCAGACAATCCAGTGATTGACACCATGTGTATCGATCTATGCAATTACATCTCCAACAGTAGGCTGACATGTCGTGGAAAGCGGGGCTTACCATCATTTGACAGCGTTGTTCAGATGTGGTTTAAAATTACTGACTCACACCAGAGTTTACCCAAGCATCTTTTAGTCATGTGTTGTATTTATTCCTGCTTTCAGAAAAGAGAAAACAGGTCAGAGCTGTTTCAAGTGCTGGTGACCGGCGCTGGACTTGTCACCTGCACAATCAATGTGGTCATTTATGACGACGACAGTATGTTACTTGCTTATCTTGAATTGATTACTGTGTGTCTCGTTATATGTTTAAGAGAACCGTGAAGATACGGGGTAGAATAACTCAGCAACTCATCCTTATCGTGAAAGGCGACCATACTTGTCCTGCGACGCGACTAATGCTGGTCGGAAGAGGCCACTAATGGGATTGGGATCGAGTAGTCAGACTCGCTGACTTGGTTGATGCATGTCATCGTATCTCAAATGCGTGGATCGATGTTCGTGATGTCCATCACTGGATTGTCTGGTCCAGACTCGTTTATTTACAAACCACCGTCATATAGCTGAAATATTGCTGTGTGCGGCGTTAAACCACAAACAAACACATATATATTTAAGAGTATATATGTCTACCTAAGTGTTTTGCATCTAAAGGAGTACTTAACAGATGAAGTTCAAGTATTTGAAAAGTATTTGATGCCAAAGATGTGTATAATCATAGAAATCTCTATCTCAATTCCTACAACACTTTACCCAAACTAAATCACTGCTGCTAGCCCTTAGCTGCCCCTGCCCTGCCCTGTCCTATCGTATGCTACCATACTATATCAAACTAACCTACGCAATCCTACCCTAACCCAATCTTCTCTAACCCTAATCCGAATCCATACCATACCATACCATACCATACCATACCATACCATACCATACCATACCATACCATACCATACCATACCATACACCAACCCTACACAACCCTACGCTATCCTACCCAGACCCTTCCTTACCCTACCAACCTTATCCTTACCTACCCACCTCTATCCCAACCCTATCCTACCCCGACCCTTCCTTACCCTACAAACCCTATCCTACCCTTCCCTATACAGCCCTGACCTACCCTCCACAACCCTACCCTACACTAACCTTTCATTACCCTACCCTTACCTACCCACCTCAATCCCAACCCTATCCTACCACGACCCATCCTTACCCTACCTTACCTATTGTACCTAACTTTTCCCTGCCCCGACTCCAATCCCTACAACACCAATCCACAGTGTTCTCTTCTTCTGATTTTAGGAACCACATAGTTCTAAAAAATGCCCTCTCTGTGTTTGGGAGCTGCATACGTTTACATGGATGTATGAATATTTCAGTTCCGGATCCCTTCGACTGTAGAAGAGGTATAAGCCAGCCTTGCAAGTACAGTGGAACGTGTAACGCGACGAACGGGGCATGTGTGTGTCCGCCTGGCTACGTAGGGGCCGACTGCAGCAGGCCAATACGTAAGTCAGATCCTAGTTAGTGACCGCATTTAGTGACCGGGATTGGGCCGCATTTCAGTATTTCACTTACATCACAGCGTTTCAGCTTTATAATGCAGATGAGCCTGAAGTGACGTTTATCAGTTCTGATGGAACCTGATAAGATTAACCATTCATCACACAACTATATGCATTTTAAAAATTTGTACTTGTCAGTTTTACAGTAAAGGTACATACAATTGACAAAAATCATTTCCAAAATAAAAACAAATTGCTGCTAAAAGCCGAGAACATTGTACGATTCCGACTATAAGCACGGATTTGTGAATCACTTTCAAATAGTGATGATACCAGGTGTTTGCGAAAAGGAGAGCGATTTTACGTTGATAACAAGGTGCATTTATCACAAAGAGATGTCAGTGGCAGTGGTTTAGAAATACATTCAAGGATACATGTTATAATGCATGTTATTTAAATGTCTTTTCAGCGCGGATTGGTGGAACAGGCTGTGACGGACGATGCAGTCCCGGCGGTGTGTGTATGTCTGACAACGTTGGTGGGGGCAAGGAAACTATCACCTGCAACTGCCACCCCGGGTGGACTGGAGCCGCCTGCAACGAAACCTCTTGTAAGTACTAACTATATCACACATCTGCCACCCCGGGTGGACTGGAGTCTACTGCAACGAAACCTCTTGTAAGTACTAACTATATCACACATCTGCCACCCCGGGTGGACTGGAGCCTACTGCAACGAAACCTCTTGTAAGTACTAACTATATCACACATCTGCCACCCCGGGTGGACTGGAGCCTACTGCAACGAAACCTCTTGTAAGTACTAACTATATCACACATCTGCCACCCCGGGTGGACTGGAGCCTACTGCAACGAAACCTCTTGTAAGTACTAACTATATCACACATCTGCCACCCCGGGTGGACTGGAGCCTACTACAACGAAACCTCTTGTAAGTGCTAACTATATCACACATCTGCCACCCCGGGTGGACTGGAGCCTACTGCAACGAAACCTCTTGTAAGTGCTAACTATATCACACATCTGTCACCCCGGGTGGACTGGAGTCTACTGCAACGAAACCTCGTGTAAGTACTAACTATATCACTCATCTGCCACCCCGGGTGGACTGGAGCCTACTACAACGAAACCTCGTGTAAGTACTAACTATATAACACAAAATGCCACCCCGGGTGGACTGGAGTCTACTGCAACGAAACCTCGTGTAAGTACTAACTATATCACACATCTGCCACCCCGGGTGGACTGGAGTCTACTGCAACGAAACCTCGTGTAAGTACTAACTATATCACACATCTGCCACCCCGGGTGGACTGGAGCCTACTACAACGAAACCTCGTGTAAGTACTAACTATATAACACAAAATGCCACCCCGGGTGGACTGGAGTCTACTGCAACGAAACCTCGTGTAAGTACTAACTATATCACACATCTGCCACCCCGGGTGGACTGGAGTCTACTGCAACGAAACCTCGTGTAAGTACTAACTATATCACACATCTGCCACCCCGGGTGGACTGGAGTCTACTGCAACGAAACCTCTTGTAAGTACTAACTATATCACACATCTGCCACCCCGGGTGGACTGGAGCCTACTGCAACGAAACCTCTTGTTAGTACTAACTATATCACACATCTGCCACCCAGGGTGGACTGGAGCCTACTGCAACGAAACCTCTTGTAAGTACTACTTATATCACACATCTGCCACCCCGGGTGGACTGGAGTCTACTGCAACGAAACCTCTTGTAAGTGCTAACAATATCACACAGCTTCCACCCCGGGTAGACTGGAGCCTACTACAACGAAACTTCGTGTAAGTGCTAACTATATCACACATCTGTCACCCCGGGTGGACTGGAGTCTACTGCAACGAAACCTCTTGTAAGTACTAACTATATCACACATCTGCCACCCCGGGTGGACTGGAGCCTACTGCAACGAAACCTCGTGTAAGTACTAACTATATCACACAAAATGCCACCCCGGGTGGACTGGAGCCTACTGCAACGAAACCTCTTGTAAGTACTAACTATATCACACATCTGCCACCCCGGGTGGACTGGAGCCTACTGCAACGAAACCTCTTGTTAGTACTAACTATATCACACAGCTTCCACCCCGGGTGGACTGGATCCTACTACAACGAAACCTCTTGTAAGTACTAACTATATCACACAGCTGCCACCCCTGGTGGACTGGAGTCTACTGAAACGAAACCTCTTGTAAGTGCTAACAATATCACACAGCTTCCACCCCGGGTGGACTGGAGCCTACTACAACGAAACTTCGTGTAAGTGCTAACTATATTACACATCTGTCACCCCGGGTGGACTGGAGTCTACTGCAACGAAACCTCGTGTAAGTACTAACTATATCACACATCTGCCACCCCGGGTGGACTGGAGCCTACTACAACGAAACCTCGTGTAAGGGCTAACTATATCACACAAAATGCCATCCCCGGGTGGACTGGGTCCTACAGCAACGAACACTCGTGTCAATACTAATTACTAGTATATCACACCAGTCATACAGGACAGCAACAGTGTTGATGACATGCTGCTTAACGACCCGATTGGAGTTCATGTGTTGCAGTCTTCTGTCTAAACTACCACCTGGGTAAGAACAGCTACATCTTTCCGAGGCAAGGGAGTTAACTGACTCTAAAAGTCCGGCTTCCACGGGATATGTCCCTTCTATGCCCCTTCCTGTTGCCCAATCAGATTCCACCTCTCGTATCACTTGCATTTGCTTCAAACAGTCAAGGCGATCTGATTGATTATCAAGACATATATTGAAATAAAACGGGTCTTTCTTCGCGAAGTGCATCGATTCAAATGTGAGCACCTTGATTAAAAACATGAAAAGATTTGCAAAAATATCTGTCGACGCCCAGTTGACGGTACACGTCTTTTGCAAATCCTGCAGTCGACCGAAATCTGCAGGATGGAAACGATGTTGTTTATGAACCGGATGTCTCGTTCGTTACGAGATTTTGATTGGACTATGCATAGACTTGTTAGTCCAGCCAAAATATAACTCCATAATTGCAGCCTAGTTCGGCAAGGGTGGAAACAAGTCAGTTAACTCCCTTTCCTCTGGAAGATTGGACGATATACTGAATAACCTGATAGATATAACATGTTACATTCTTCTATCTAGACTACCACCAGTGTAACCAGAACAGCTTCAGCGTCTGCATCACCCCCTACAGCTTCGCCGACTTTGCCGGAAGCGTCCACGTCCGGGGCAACGCCACTGTCGGCGGCTGCTACCTCCAGCGAGCTCCGTCCCCTGCTAACACGGGTGACAAGATCCCTGACTGGTGCAAAGGCTATGCAGCCACGTTCCCATTCAAGGGCGGGCCCTGTCAGAACTTTGGACCTTCCAATAACGTATGTTCAATAACAGATAGTGCTGTCGATGCGATAATCTGATCCGATTAACTTGGTATCGCGATACGATAAATATGCAAATGAGATAGCCTTACTTGAACTACTTTTAATAAGATTCATACATACATGTGATACCTGCATGATGAATAAACTATTGCCTGACGCCCCCATTAAGGTTAGATAGGTTTAGATGCGTGAGGGCTTCTGTTACAAAACGTGGCTTCAGATCATTTGGCTCTATATTATGAATGGAACAGTTCATCCTGGTACTGTATTCATACGCGATCTCTAAAGTTAGTAAAGGTTGAAAACTTCGATTATTTTGAGTATTTTGCAATAAAGACAGAATACGATAAAGTCATTGTTATCCTTGTGTCTTTCCGTATCGTACATATTATATATTGGGAACAAAATATATATTTTGATCACAAGGCTCAAAGTTCTTTTGGGACGGTGGGGTAGCCTAGGGGTCAAAGCATTCGCTCGTCACGTCGAAGAACCGGGTTCGATTCCCGACATGGGTACAATGTGTGAAGCCAATTTCTGGTGTCCCCCGCCGTGATATTGCTGGAATATTGCCTCATCGCTTGTGTAACGTTTCCCACGTTTTAATACAGTTAATTTATATTTTGACTTCCAAGGGAGGAAACAAGACGTACGTTCTTCAGCTTATCGTGCAGTATACGAATGGCACCCTCAACCGCCTAGACGAGCTCGTCACCTTCACCTGCCAGTTCGACAACTCCTCTTTGCTCGTCTACAGCAATGCAGTGGAGACCAACCCATCCGAGTAGGTTCCCATGCCTGCTGATTCTATATGTACTCAGCCACAAAAGTACCTGTTAAGCATTTAAGCATACTCAGATGAGACCAACTGAAAAAAATATTTTCAAATTTTAAAAATAACTAAGTTGACCATATGTCTAACTTTGTACACAACAAACCATTTGGTAAAACAGAATTTGGATGTCGGCATTATCCCCTGCACGTCCAAACCAGGTTCAAACGTAATTTCCGACCAATTTTGAAAACCATGCCATGTGTTATAGATGGAAAGCTGTTGGAAATGTGCTTTCGACAGTATCAGTAAAATAAATCAAAACCACCAAAATAATGACTTTATCGCCATTTGAAGTTATGAAAAAATATATAAATTCGGTGATTAGTAACTGTCTATCCGTCACCCCTTATACTTCAAGACCAATGTCGAAAAGTAAAAAAAACAACCTTACAGTATGGTATCTGCGGAAAGAGTAGACCCTGGGCAGTAATCTCAATACAGACAAGTAAAGTCACACAAAAAGTCCACGCGCATACATTTAAGCTGGCCGAAGTATGCGTAGGTTTTAGTAGTGAGATGAAATAGTTTTGAGATCCTTAGGGTATTACCCCCGTGACTGCATACTAGAAACTGCTAATTTGACCTATTTCAATGGATTCATCAGGGTACCTCCGACACGACCCTAATTCCAAAACTATTTGGTGTAACCCTCTGTTGTCCTAAGTGTGTGCGTATTGGGTTCAAAGGGAAAGTCAAGCTCTAATTGCATTGTCCTTTCAAATTGCTGTCCACCTCTAACAGGGGACTAAGGAGAAACATGCACGTCACCATAACGTGTATAGAGACACACATTACGAGCCAATTAAGATATTTGTAAAACATTTATTTAATAAATAAATCAGTCCTTTACAGCATCAGTTTATTTCGAATCTTCAGATAAAAAGAGTTTTGATACGTGTTCAAAAATATTTTAATATGATATAACATTGAGGGTGTCAGCACATAGAGAATGTACAACCAAGCCATCCACTTAAACTACCGTATTCGACGTAATAAGCGCCGACGGCGACATTTGGCTAACATATTGGAACAGTCCCAATTAGCACCCCTTCCGATTGATCAATGTACACAAGACTTATTTATTCGTGTATAATAAATTATAATATAATGCATCCATAATTATGGGAAATCAGATTCTGGAAAAATATATCTGTCGTATATAAACATTCAGGCTGTCAGCATAAACCACGAAATTTACGATCTTTCAACTATTCTAATAAGAGCCCCCTATTTCTAATTTTAAGAGCGCCGTTGGCGCTTATTATGTCGAATACGGTAATATGCTTTTCAAAGGAACAGTGTGATGATAATGAATACATGGCTATTTCCCAGGACGGCTCTGAGGAAACAGGGATCCTCCTTGATTTTCAATCCCGTCACGATGACAGTCACCAGACGGAATGGGGCCCCTATCACATCAGTCCTGCAGCTTGACGAGATCATCCAAGTGTGTATTGCAGTCTCATGTGAGTTGCTTGCTGTAATGGATCAACTATAGACTAACATCTAGTCTCTGAAATGAACATGTCGTACAGAAAAAAACAGTTGTTCAATTATCTTAATAAAAATATAATAAAAGGGAGCCCAGAGACTCTCTTCATTTTCTGATACTGCAGTAATCTAGACTTGCCAAACATTATAGACTTGCATGGGCTGTATTTGATATATATTTGTATTATCAGGGTCTGTAAAACAGACCAGGATCAATTCCATCAACAGACGGGTCATGTAGGAAACACGTTATTATTATTTAAAGCATGTTGCGATAATCAGGTTAATGGGTGGTTAGAGTAGCCGAAAGGTAGATAGATTGATAAAGGATGTTATCATAGATGAAGGGTAGATGGAAGGGTGATTAGATTGGTTGATGATGGATTAATGAATCATGTTTGGAAACCTGGAAAGATGATTGATGAATAGATAGATGTGTGGATCTCCTTCAGGAAACTGGATAGATGATTGGCGAATAGATAGATGTGTGGATTTCCTTTAGGAAACTGGATAGATGATTGGTGAATGGACAGATGTGTGGATCACCTTTAGGAAACTGGATAGATGATTGGTGAATGGACAGATGTGTGGATCTCCTTTAGGAAACTGGATAGATCATTGGCGAATAGATAGATGTGTGGATCACCTTTAGGAAACTGGATAGATGATTGGTGAATGGACAGATGTGTTGATCTCCTTTAGGCAACCAGATAGATGATTGATAAATAGATAGATGTGTGGATCTCCTTTAGGAACCTGGATAGATGATTGGTGAATAGATAGATGTGTGGATCTCCTTTAGGAAACCGGGTAGATGATTGATGAATAGATAGATGTGTGGATCACCTTTAGGAATCTGGATAGATGATTGATGAATAGATAGATGTGTGGATCTCCTTTGGGAAACTGGATAGATGATTGATAAATAGATAGATGTGTGGATCACCTTTAGGAAACTGGATAGATGATTGTTGAATAGATAGATGTGTTGATCTCCTTTAGGAAACCGGGTAGATGATTGATGAATAGATAGATGTGTGGATCACCTTTAGGAAACTGGATAGATGTTTGGTGGATAGATAGATGTGTGGATCTCTTTTAGGAAACTGGATATATGATTGGTGATAAGATAGATGTGTGGATCTCCTTTGGGAAACTGGATAGATGATTGATGAATGGACAGATGTGCATCATTATTAGAAAAGTGAATAAATAATTTATGAATGAATAATATATCTGTGGGTGATCTTTGGAATAAAAGCGACAAAACCCTTTCCATATTCATAAAAAAAATCTCAGCCAAAAGCAGAGTCGCTTGTCTTATTCCGACTATTTCATAAGCATGTGTTTATGAATCACTACCAAATAGAGATGATAGTCATGAAACAAGGTGTTCGCGAAAAGGTGAGTGAAAACTGGATAGATGGTTGATGAATTGATGATGGATTTGTGGATTATGTTTCAAAACTTGATATATATATGGATGATGGTTGGAAAACTGCGCAGATGGATTTTTGGATAATCATTTGAAATCAGGATAATGGTTGTTGAGTGGGCATATGTGTAGGTGATGGTTAGGATGGAAAGATGATTGGTCGATGGATGATAGATTTGTGGATGATGGTTGGAAAACTGGATAGATGATTGATGTATGGATAGAAATGTGGATTATGGTTGGAAAACTGGATAGATGATTGATGTATGGATAGAAATGTGGATTATGGTTGGAAAACTGGATAGATGATTGATGTATGGATAGAAATCTGGATTATGGTTGGAAAACTGGATAGATGATTGATGTATGGATAGAAATGTTGATTATGGTTGGAAAACTGGATAGATGATTGATGTATGGATAGAAATGTGAATTATGGTTGGAAAACTGGATAGATGATTGATGTATGGATAGAAATGTGGATTATGGTTGGAAAACTGGATAGATGATTGATGTATGGATAGAAATGTGGATTATGGTTGGAAAACTGGATAGATGATTGTTGAAAGGATGATAGGCATGTATCTACTAATTGGATTGAGAAGTGAACCGATTCCGGATAATGGATGGATGGGAGGTGAATAAATTATGGCTGATAGATTATGATGATGAATAAATGGAAAGTTGATGAGTGGATGACTGGTGGAAGATAAATAGTGAGTGAGTGAGCATAGTTTCACGCCGCTCTTAGTAATATTCCAGCAATATCACGACAGGGGACACCTGAAATGGGCTTCACACATTGTACCCATGTCGGGAGTCGAACCTGGATTATCGACGTGACGAGCGAAGGCTTCAACCACTGGCTACCCGAGCGCCCCTCGGAAGATAAATAGATGATAACTGGATGTGTAGATTGATTTATGGATTGACAAATGGCTAAATCATTGATAGATAGTTGGCAAGCTGGATATATAGATGATGGATTATCGCTATAATAATTCATGAATATACATATGGATAGGTAAATGGATAGATGATTGGATAGGTTAATGGATAGATGATTGAATAGGTAAATGGATAGAGGATTGGATAGGTAAATGGATAGAGGATTGGATGGATAGAGGGATAGAGGATTGGATAGGTAAATGGATAGAGGATTGGATAGGTAAATGGATAGAGGATTGGATAGGTTAATGGATAGATGATTGAATAGGTAAATGGATAGAGGATTGGATAGGTAAATGGATAGAGGATTGGATGGATAGAGGATTGGATAGGTAAATGAATAAAGGATTGGATAGGTAAATGGATAAAGGAATGGATGGATAGAGGATTGGATAGGTAAATGGATAGAGGATTGGATAGGTAAATGGATAGATGATGAATGGCAATAGTTATTAATAGCAGATATGACCCTCTAGTTTCCTTTCTCCAGCAAGTGACTGGGGCTGCGTGCTGACTCACCAGATCATGGTCAACAACACGCTGTCAGGCGGGGACGCCGTGTCATGGATGGTGTATGATGAAGGGTAAGAGCAATACGATTGGCCTCATCAAACCAAGCTTATATCGGCTGACTTCAGAGCTACATGGCAATATATCAAGCAATAATTATAAACGCGCAGTATTACTCATGCTAAATCCTTCCTTATTAATCCGTCTGTTGCCGAATGATTTCTTCACTGACACATAAACACATACTAGAACAACACACTATTGCTAAAAGTGAGTTAGTGAGTGAGATTGGTTTATCGCCGGTTTCAAACAGTTATATATAATTAATAATTATTCAATCATATCACGGCGTGTCAGCTTGATGTAGGGGGTATGCCGAATGTGATGCCGGTTTTAAACGGAAAACCGCGAGCACGGGCATGGTGCTAACAAACCAAGAAACATTTTAAAAAAAGGCGAATATGTTATTTTGGGGCACGCCTTAGGGACGTAAGTCTGCAAAGCGAATTGCCGCGGCTTTGACGATGGATCCACCCGTGCCTCCGTATCACTATAAGTATGTGAAACTAACATGTTTTACCTATATGTAGGTGGTCCACTGATCTACTGCACCATCTGTGGTTTTATCCCCACTAGTTGCCACTAGTAACACAAATATCTTCAACGAGCGCCTAAACTCACCTCACTCAAATAATACAGGTATCGTGTCAAATCAAGGACTAGCCATGACTTTGATATGAGTGAGTGAGCGAGTTGGGTTTAACGCCGCTTTTAACAGTATTCCAGTTATATCACGGCGTGTCAGCTTAATGTGGGAGGAAAGCCAGAAGTGATGCTAGCCTCGGACGTTTACCAATTCGGTTAAACCCACGAGCACGGGTATGGTGCTGACAAACCTAGAACCATAACTGAGACGAACCGGGATTCGAACGCACAATCATAGGTTTCTGGCGTGCCCAAGGGACGCAACACTGCACAGCGAATCGCAGCTTCTGAGACGATTGGGAATAAATAATTAGTCATACTTTTTATGAAAATTGTATGAATGGCGGGCGTTACCGGTAGGGCAGGACATGCTTATCCTTTTCGCGAACACCTGATGTCATCACGATTTCCAGTGGTCCATTCATATAATTTCCACAGCTATTTGCCCTTTACGCCAAGTGGAATCTGTTTCGGCAGTAAATCTAGGCTGGTTATTCTCTTGCATTATCAATATATATTTACCTTTGACCACTGTCTAAAAAGCACTGTGTATTCAAAGCTCTACCAATGTTACAGATGTATCGTCCCTCAGTACAGTGGGGTTGTGGTTGAAGAACCAATATTCCCTGCGACATCGACTCAAGCCTGTTTCAAGCTTCGTATGACGTCAGTTGGCAGTGTAACCACTTCACACATGGGCATCGTCGTTAAAGCGTCCGTATCTAATGGAGCATGTTCCGGTGTGAGTAGAAGATAGTCATCGAGCGATGCTAAAAGGTTTAACGTCATGAAGTGACACGTGGTCCGTAGGCGTCTTTCACCTTTGCTATTTGGAATTAATTTGATTCTGTTCAGAACTGCCCTAAATTCTTTGCTTGTTGAATGTGGTCAATGCAACAATACCTCGTTAATATGAAGAAAGTATCATTATTGCCACGGCCAAGACAAAGTTGATGAATTGCTTGATAGGCATTACTTAGAAGTTGACGGATGACAAGGTAGACACAATTTTATGGATAACAACTTCTTTAATTACTGTAAAGGTGACGTTTCGGTATAGATCCTTATACCGTGCCAAAAAATGTATTAGCTCTAGAACTGCCACAGTTATCCAAGTAGGATTTATCGTCTAAGGGACCATAACTGATCTAATGAGCCATTCGCAGTTTCACTGTGCTAGAGTTTGTACTTAGACATGCATGGCTTAATCTTTGATACAAGCATATAATTACTGGCAAGATCAACCAGACTGCTTGCTTGACAACAGTATAATGATCTATAACGAAATTTCGCTTTTTACAGCATTAAAGAAGTTGTTATCCATAAAATTGTGTCTACCTTGAAAGCTGATGAAGTTCACTACATATGAGTGACCCCGTGGAGATTCCCAGTTAGAATAAGTCCCCACTACCTATGATGGTCGAAGAGGTGACCAAATGGATCGGGTGGTCAGACTCGGTGATTTTGATAGCGTGTCATAAACCCCGACGTCGTGGATCGTTGTTAACAAATCAATCACTTGATGATCTGGTCCAGACTTGATTATTTACAGGCCGCCATCACAAAGCTGGAGTATTGCTGAGTGCGGTGTAGGACAACAAGCAAACACAACCTATTGGTTTGGTTTAGTGGTAGTTTATTCAGATGTAATATTTGCCATATGCCCAGTTACTCATCATGAAGTTTGTTTGTTGTTTAACGCCGCACTATGCAGCGTTCCAGCTACATGACGGCGGTCTGTAAATAATTGAGTCTGGACCAGACAATCAACTGATTGTTAACGCTTGAGTGCGGTGTTAGACAACAAATAAACAAACAAAAAACATCGAATAACCATTTATTGTTTGTTTCATTTTAGCCACCATCTGGTCGCAATGTGGGGAATGAATGCACAATGCCTTTTAGGAAGTGGTCCAATGTACCAATGTTATATTTTGGATGACATTTTCTTAGAACAAATTCTAGTACCTTTTTAGGGTTGAGTCCCATCCTGGGAGTGTGGCACCTAATCGCCAGCACACTATATCAGCAATCTAACCCACTCACCCTTCCAGGTTTTAACAAAAATGGAAGTCTAGATCACATACATGTACTTTGTGTGCCCCTCTGTGTAAACAAGTGCCTCACTCTGGGAGTGTGGTTTCGAATACCGGACGAGGACTCAACCAAAAATAGTACTTGAATTTGTGCTTTACACAGAAAGCGTAATTCCCAAAATAACGTTAAAGTTTTCAAGATATTGGGTTATACTTATACAACTGTTAACCGTCACTATAAGAGTGAGACGAGCAGCTTCCTTGTCTTGCAGCTATCGTGTTCAACTGGATTTAGTTTGATCAAAGAGGATCTCTTCCCTGTGAGAAAACGACGTGAGGCACAGGACACTATAGTGGGTTACGTCATCGCCTTTGACGGCAACCCCAATCTCCAGGGTACACATCCGGGCTCTCCAAGTCAAGGAAACAGTGGTGGCGTTCAGACAGGTGAGAGCAGGTGGCAATACCTGTGTAGGGGCGATGGAGTGAGTGAATGAGTGAGTGTGGTTTTACGCCGCTTTTAGCAATATTTCAGCAATATCACGGCGGGGGACACCATAATGGGCTTCACACATTGTACCCATGTCGGGATTCGAATCTGGGTCTTCAGCGTGACGAGCGAACGCTTTAACCACTAGGCTACCCGACCGAAAGGGGCGATGGAAGTGAGACAGAAGTTGTTGTAGTGATGTGATTGTTCAACTATAGAGGTTGTAGTGTTGTGAACTCTAGAGGTTGTAGTGTTGTGAATAAGTGAGACAGAAGTTGTTGTAGTGATGTGATTGTTCAACTATAGAGGATGTAGTGTTGTGAACTCTAGAGGTTGTAGTGTTGTGATTCGAATCTGGGTCTTCAGCGTGACGAGCGAACGCTTTAACCACTAGGCTACCCGACCGAAAGGGGCGATTGAAGTGAGACAGAAGTTGTTGTAGTGATGTGATTGTTTAACTCTAGAGGTTGTAGTGATGTGATTGTTTAACTCTAGAGGTTGTAGTGTTGTGAATAAGTGAGACAGAAGTGGCTGTAGTGATGTGATTGTTTAAATACAGAGGTTGTAGTGATGTGATTGTTTAACACTAGAGGTTGTAGTGTTGTGAATAAGTGAGACAGAAGTTGTTGTAGTGATGTGATTGTTTAACTCTAGAGGTTGTAGTGTTGTGATTGTTTAACTCTAGAGGATGTAGTGTTGTGAACTCTAGAGGTTGTAGTGTTGTGAATAAGTGAGACAGAAGTGGTTGTAGTGATGTGATTGTTTAACTCTAGAGGTTGTAGTGTTGTAAATAAGTGAGACAGAAGTTGTTGTAGTGATGTGATTGTTTAACTCTAGAGGATGTAGTGTTGTGAATAAGTGAGACAGAAGTGGCTGTAGTGATGTGATTGTTTAAATACAGAGGTTGTAGTGATGTGATTGTTTAACTCTAGAGGTTGTAGTGCTGTGAATAAGTGAGACAGAAGTGGCTGTAGTGATGTGATTGTTTAAATACAGAGGTTGTAGTGATGTGATTGTTTAACACTAGAGGTTGTAGTGCTGTGAATAAGTGAGACAGAAGTGGCTGTAGTGATGTGATTGTTTAAATACAGAGGTTGTAGTGATGTGATTGTTTAACACTAGAGGTTGTAGTGTTGTGAATAAGTGAGACAGAAGTCGTTGTAGTGATGTGATTGTTTAACTCTAGAGGTTGTAGTGTTGTGAATAAGTGAGACAGAAGTGGCTGTAGTGATGTGATTGTTTAAATACAGAGGTTGTAGTGATGTGATTGTTTAACTCTAGAGGTTGTAGTGCTGTGAATAAGTGAGACAGAAGTGGCTGTAGTGATGTGATTGTTTAAATACAGAGGTTGTAGTGATGTGATTGTTTAACACTAGAGGTTGTAGTGTTGTGAATAAGTGAGACAGAAGTCGTTGTAGTGATGTGATTGTTTAACTCTAGAGGATGTAGTGTTATGAATAAGTGAGACTGAAGCGGCTGTAGTGATGTGATTGTTTAAATACAGAGGTTGTAGTGTTGTGATTGTTTAACTCTAGAGGTTGTAGTGTTGTGAATAAGTGAGACAGAAGTTGTTGTAGTAATGTGATTGTTTAACTCTACAGGTTGTAGTGATGTGATTGTATAACTCTAGAGGTTGTAGTGTTGTGAATAAGTGAGACAGAAGTTGTTGTAGTGATGTGATTGTTTAACACTAGAGGTTGTAGTGTTGTGAATAAGTGAGACAGAAGTTGTTGTAGTAATGTGATTGTTTAACTCTAGAGGTTGTAGTGATGTGATTGTTTAACTCTAGAGGTTGTAGTGTTGTGAATAAGTGAGACAGAAGTTGTTGTAGTGATGTGATTGTTTAACTCTAGAGGTTGTAGTGTTGTGAATAAGTGAGACAGAAGTGGTTGTAGTGATGTGATTGTTTAAATACAGAGGTTGTAGTGATGTGATTGTTTAACTCTAGAGGTTGTAGTGTTGTGAATAAGTGAAACAGAAGTGGCTGTAGTTATGTGATTGTTTAACTCTAGAGGTTGCAGCGTTGTGAATAAGTGAAACAGAAGTTGTTGTAGTGATGTGATTGTTTAACACTAGAGGTTGTAGTGTTCTGAATAAGTGACACAGAAGTGGTTGTAGTGATATTTTAACACTAGAGATTGTAGTGTTGTGAATGATATGAGACTGAAGTCTGACACTAACACTAGAGGATGTAGTGTTGTGATAGTTTAACACTACGGGTTGTAGTGTTGTGAATGAATTAAGACTGAAGTCTGACACTAACACCAGAGGATGTAGTGTTGTGATAGTTTAACACTATGGGTTGTAGCGTTGTGATAGTTTAACACTAGAGGTTGTAGTGTGATAGTTGAACATGAGGAGTTGTATTGATGTGATAGTTGAAAACGAGGGGTTGTATTGATGTGATAGTTGAACACGAGGAGTTGTATTGGTGTGATTGTTGAACACGAGGAGTTGTATTGATGTGATAGTTGAACACTGGGGGTTGTATTGATGTGATAGTTGAACACGAGGAGTTGTATTGATGTGATAGTTTAACACGAGGGATTGTATTGATGTGATAGTTGAACACTGGGGGTTGTATTGATGTGATAGTTGAACACAAGGAGTTGTATTGCTGTGATAGTTTAACACGATGATTGTATTGATGTGATAGTTGAACACGAGGGATTGTATTGATGTGGTTGTTTAACACGAGGGTTGTATTGATATGGTTGTTTAATACGAGGGATTGTATTGATGTTATAGTTGAACACGAGGGATTGTATTGATGTGATGGTTTAACACGAGGAGTTGTATTAATGTGATAGTTTAACACTAGAGGTTGTGTTGATTTCATAGTTGAACACTGGGGATTGAATTGATGTGAATGAAGTGACACACTAGCGTTAGTACCTCAGTAGATGTGATAGAAGTAGCATCTTACCCATTAGTTCGACCATAATGACAATCTTAAATAGCCTGGATAATGGTATGTAATGAACTCATCAAGTTATGACATGATTATTTATGGAAAAGATGATTATGATAAAGAATGCTTTCACTGAGCATATTCGACTTGTATTCAGAGACCGCCGCAACAGCAACTGCAAGCCAGTCCAAGCTCCCGATGTTTGTAGGAATCGGTCTTGGTACCGGTCTCTTGGCCCTACTCTCCGCCGTCCTTGGCTACATCGTCTGCAGACGTCGCAACAACGTCGACAAGGAGAAGGACCTGCCTCAGGGACATCCTTCTCCTTACTACAAATAAATAACCAAGTGACACTTGAGCGTGGAACAGAAAAACAAAATCTCCGAAATTTCTATTCACGCAAGTAAAAATGATAACGACGTACTTGGTCATTTTATTCCATTAAACTGCTTTTCATCGACGGAAACCTTGTTTAGGTTTAATATAAAAAAGATACACCAGTGATTACCAATGAATGACGTCTGAATTTAAATTGTGTAAATCTGTTGTTGAGTTTAACCTGAATAAATTCTAATTTTTGAACTGTTACTATCTGAAATAAATGAGTTGTCTCGTGCCGAGGCTAGCTTTATCAAAAACACTTCGTCAAACTGAAGTGAGTATTTGTTTCTTCACTCTTCCTCGAAACATCTCTTCCAAATTCGAAGGAACTCATGTTAAACTTTCAAATAAGAAAATAATGGCGTATACATGTAATTGTAAACTTCCTGCAATAAAAAGCTGGTGTATATGCTTGTGTTGGTTGTTTACTGGTTGTTGTGAGGCACACAGCAGGTATTTTTTGTTGTTTATTGAGTGGGAAGCCGTCACCCAACGACCTAAAATAAACCAACAGTAGATACTGTTGGGTGTTTTGAGTGAGTGAGTGTGTATGGTTTTACGCCATTGTACCCATGTGGGGAATCGAACTGGGGTCTTCGGCGTCAAGAGCGAACGCTTTCACCACCAGGCTACCCCAGCTTCCCGTTGAGAGTTTGTCTTGTGTTGTAGCGTAGGTTCGTGTCATCTCAAAACCATCGCAGAAATTGGACCCGTGAAGATCCGGGGTAGAATAGGTCTTCAGTAACCCATGCTTGTCGTAAAAGGCGACTATACTTATCGTAAGAGGCGACTCACGGGATCGGGTGGTCATGCTCGCTGACTTGGTTAATGAATGTCATCGTATCCCAATTGCGTAGATCGATGCACATGATATCAATAACTGGATTGTCTGGTCCATACTCGATTGTTTACAGACCGACGTCATATAGCTTGAATATTGCAGAGTGTAGTGTTAAACAAAAAACAAAACAAACAAACAAACAAAACGAAAATATTGTGTTCTTAACTTGAAAATAAACGTGACTTAGTTTTTCTTACTTTGTTGGATTTTTCATTTTTCCTAATTGTGCCTGTTTTAGTTAACTACAATGATATACATTTTAAATCAGAATCAAATTCCTGCGAGACAGACACTGTATGTCCTTCATTGTAAATAACCAGGAACCTATGATCCTGGGTTCGATTCCTGATTATGTTCGTGGGTTTCACAAAGTGGTAAACATCTAACACCTGCATCACTTCGGGCTTTCCTCTCACTTAAACGTACATGCCGTGATATAAACAGAATACTGTACAAAGAGACCTTAAACCCAACTCACTCACTCATAGTGTATAAGAAACCTTTCTATGCTCATAAAATATATCTGCTTAAAGAAAAACATATGAATTACTTGAATCTCAGCGTAATTGAAGGTACTGTGTAAATTATTGATTTGTAGATTTTAGGACATATTTTTAGAGGATTTATCGAAAACAATAAATTGTTCCAGTAAATGCTTGAATAAAAAAGAAATTATCTGCCACACAAAATACTGATACCTAACCCACCCCCATCCCACCTCACACCCGAATACCAAATAGTCGGTCCCTTTACTATTTCCAAACACTTTTTTAGTGGTAACTATTTTTGATAGAGCATTGTTTAACAATTAGTTGTTTTCAGTATTTCCAGGATTTTTGTTATTTTGGGAGATAAGCTTATCAATACATGTTCGTATTTCTGCGAGCTCTATCTTCACATAACATAAAATACATATTTAATAGGTTCATATTTAAATATCTGAATATGAAAAACATTATTAGTGACGAATGATGAAACCACCTGTAAGCCACGATAGTTTGTTTTGTTTGTTTGTTTGCTTGTTTGTTGTTTAACGCCGCCCTCAGCAATATTCCAGCTATATGACGACGGTCTGTAAATAATCAAGTTTGGACCAGACAAACCAGTGATTGACATCATGAGCATCCATCCACACAATTTGGATCGATGACATGCATCAACTAAGTCAGCGAGCCTAACCACTACTGAAACTACCTCAGCGCCATCTATGTAGTTGTTGTTTGCGGGGTTTTTGTTTAATGACGCACTCAGCACTATTCCAGCGTTATGACGGAGGCCTGTAATAATCAAGTCTGGACAAGACAATCCAGTAATGACATCACGAGCATCGACCTGCACAATTGGGATAAGATGACATGCATCAATCAAGCCAGCCAGCCTGACCACCCGATTGATTTTGTGAGCAACGACCCACTGCGTTTGGGAACCTGAGCACCCGATCCGTCTGGTTGCCTGTTATGACCAGCATAGGTTGCTGGGTAGTAATAATTCTTACCCGGAATGACCACGCGTGCCATCTAAGCTGACGGCCAAAAGAAACTTCACCACTTTAAAAATGAAATTGCAAAAATTTATAAATAAAAGTTCAAACTAAATCAATGCAAAACACACCGTGCAAACACAACAATGCTAAATGTAGAAAGTGATACACGTCCACGGCACTCTTTTTGCAACGAACAAAGCGAAAAACACGAGCCGCTTGGGCAGTCGAGACTATACGGCATGTCAGACATTAACACTGATAAGAAACCACCACAGAAATACCACTGCTGACACCCGAACACCGCGAGTATGTACTGGGTATGTTGCAGATGGGAACAACCCATGCCCCCATTGCTAGAACTTTTGGTTGCTCCCGTGTTGCTGTTACTAACCTGATGCAACGTTACAGACCTACCGGGCAGACATCAGACAGGCCAAGAACTAGACAGCCCCGGGGTAACTACACCCAATGAAGACTGGTGCTTGCGTACTTTGCATCTCTGGAATCGAATCCTAAAAGTGGGCAGGCCACTCAGGGCTCAAGGAATTAGGGCTAACAGACCTTACAGAGGACAGCTAATGACAGCGCAACAACGTCGTCAAACATTGAAATGGACCCGGGCTGTACGTCGTTTGCAGCAATGTGACTGGCAGGGGGTCCGTCTCCACTGATGAAAGTCGGTTCTTTCTGTTTAGAGCTGATGGAAGACAGCGTGTTTACCGCCAAAGGGGAGAAGGTCGTGCCATATGGTTGAGGGCTGTTATGTCTTCGGGAGGAATGTGTGGGCAGGGGAGAACACCACTGGTTATCGTTACATGGATGACATTCTTCGTCCTATCATTTCTACAACAGCTGCCACGTGGTGTCCCTTTTCAGCATGACAACGTCAGACCCCATACAGGCCGAATCGTACAGAACTTCTTTGCAGCCAGCAACTTCAACGTGTTGCCTTGGCCTGCAGGCTCCCCATACATGTCCCCCATCTGTGATGTCACGGATCGTCGTGTTCGACATATACTACATCCTCCAGCCTACCGACAAGAACTGATCAAGGCCCTCCAAAACGAATAGCGATGTATCCCACGCGACGTCATCAGACGAATGACTTTTTCTGCGTGCCGGAGAATTTTTGAGTATCTTGTAGCAGGGGGTGGTCATACACGCTATAAATGTGACGTGTCATTTTAGCGATTTTAGATGTGTGTGCCCTTTGTCCATTACTTTGAAAGCTTCTTGTTGCTACCCCACCTCAATTCGGGCAACTACCATGCCAATATCGGATGCTGTATGACTGTCATTGTAAAAAGTGTATTTCTTTGAGATTGTGCTCTTCATAATATACAGGTTACTCTTTTGTGGGTGTTTTGGCAGTTTCTGTAAGAGCGGGTAACTGCAAATATAAAAACAATGACATCTGCCATATATCCCCGGGAAGACAGGTACATTTTGCCAAGGCCTCAATAATTTATTTAAACCTTCAAGAAAGTGCTAAGCTTTTATGCCGTACATTCGTATATCTACATTGTCATATTTAAATGATTGTGAGATTAATACATTGGAAATGAAAGGGTCATAACATGGATGGTCTGGCTGTGCAACTCTCAGGTTTCAGTGACGCATTTTCTTGACACTTAGTATCAGCATAAAGAGTTATTAATCAAAACATTTAAAGATTTAATATCTTGCATCCGCAATGTGACCGTGAACCAATAACGCCAAACCAATAAGTGGTAAAATCAAATGACAATAAGTTTCATATCAGTCTTTCGGACAATATGAGGTTTTATATGAAGTCTTAAATATGCTCCAAATGCGACTTTTGCATGTGTAAGTTGGGGTTGTTTGAAATAAGATCAGCAATTTCAGAAAATTTCAGTAAATAAGTATCTTTATCTTTGTCAAGAAGAATAATCAGTCTACAGAATAATGCATATACTTGTACTGTAGGCCTTTATAATCTTAACAGAGACAAAAACATATTCATAATCAGAAGAAATCTCTACTAAAAGCAGAGTCCATTGTACGATTTCGACGCAATCATAAGCATGCTTATGACTAATAATTAAATAGTGATGATAAAGGTATGCATCCTGTCCCACCAGTGGCACCCATCAAAACACATGCAAAGGCAAGGCAAGCGTGTATCTATACAAACACGGAAACATATTGTCAAAATAGGGAATTTCCCACATTCACATCCAAAGGCAAGACAAACGCGGAAAAATAAGTCAAAATAAGGAATTGCATGGGACATCTTTTTTGTCACTGATTCGTCAAAGTTCAAAACAAGGGAGTTTCAGTTAATCTTTAGGTATATCAATGATCTGATAGTATGTCCCCTTCAACTGATTTACCCACCTGAACTAAAACAAAGAGAGACAAGTGAAACGGCCTCACCTGTTTTATATTTAATCCTTGCATAAAGATTCCGAGTGACAAAAAGCGCTCCTCTTTATTTAACGATATTAGATCATTGATAAACTGAAGTTATTTTTCTTGATTAAATTCCATTTTTTGAATTTGTCAAACTGAGCAGAAATCATATGCATAAAGAAACAGCTCAGCTTGAAGGTGAGCACAATTGATGCCCATGGCGATGTCTACTTCTTTTCAAACTGTCTTATCCCCAAATTTCAGCAATCCAACATTTCACATACGACTTTGGATGGCATTTGCTTTCATTTTTGAAATAAAAATGTCTTTAACCTTTTAAAATGGACATATGGTCACCAAGTATAGTGACAAATGCCCCATTAATCAATAATGAAGCTTTTCCTTAATTTTGTCGTTTGGGATAGTGGGGTACAAATTCCACCATTATTTCTGTGTTTATAAAAAAATGATTCCTTGTATGTATTGAACATTATGATAAATATTTGTGACAGGGATTTTGTTGGTGCATTGCTGCAATATATCTCTCTGTGTAAGGATTTTTATCGAGCTATGTCTTTAGGTTTTAGAGTCAAGTCAACATTGATAGTACTGATGCGTGTTTTTGGCCGTTTTCTTTTTCAGTTAATATAATGACCGAACATGCGGCATTATTACTCTTGCTCAGAAGTTGTCTGATCAAGGTTCCAACATT